CTGACTGGATGATCTGGTGAACTGGAAAGTGACCTGAGATGACATGATGTGAATTGGAGCTATAGAAATAGACTGAATAGAATTTAATTGAATTGGAGCTATAGAAATAAACTGAATAGAAAATTGAACCAGACAGTTTCTATCTGCATGTTTTCTAAACAAAAACAAGGCTTTTTGCTCCACTGTATAAAACCTGGAACTAAACGCTATTTCTGACATTTTGACTAGAAAAGGATGGAAGAGAAACGTCTTCAGACTTGGAAACCAAGTCCATTGGATTGTTTTTAACTTTTTTTTCTAATACCTGTTATAAAATATTTAAAAAGCAGCTAAAAATTCTTCAGTGTGTATTTTTGTATTTCTCTAATTAGCGATTGAGCGATGAGCCGTTCATGTCTCTCAGCTCACACTGAGCTTTTCTTGCTGCTCCAGTTTCAGAGCTCTGCATCGCGGTGCCATGGGGGGAGATCAGAGGTACAGTCTGGGGTCCTGATCATGGTCGGCCGGTGCTGTGCCTGCATGGCTGGGCTGATAACTGTGGGACGTTCAACGCGCTGCTCCCTTTTCTACCCAAAGGTCAGGTTCTTTTTGTCGTATTAAAATGTTTTCTGTTGCCTGTTTATTCAAACTCGCTGCACTTTTTCTTCTTTGGGGCCTTGAAACTATTTTAATCTCTCAAAGTTTGACAATGAAAGCCAACCATCCCCACAGCATCACACATCTTCCACCTTACTAAACAGTCCACATCAGTTAATTAAAAAACCTACTAATCCTGTTGATTGAGGGAAACATCCAGACCCGTCATCATGCATGTAGCTCATGTAACCCCCCATGGAGCAGCAGTGTGGTCTCTAGCTACGCTGCAGAGATTCTTCTTCCTTTTTTAACCTGCATGCTAGCAGACCCACCAGTTTCCCACAGCGCCATTTGTTTCACGTTTTAAAGTTTTAAGGTTTGGGTTTAGTGTCACAGAGTGATTCATATTGTGATCAGCCTTTGTTGAACGTTATCTTGTTTGTGAACGTTTAAAGAATGGTCCTTTAGCATCAATACACCCCTCTGCTATTGGCTGCTAGACTTCCTCACCAACAGACCTCAGTCAGTTGGCTAATAGCAGCTGGCTAATGGCTAATGTCAGCTGGCTAATATCAACTGGCTAATCTCAGCTGGCTACTGTCAGCTGCTAATAGCAGCTGGCTAATGGCTAATGTCAGCTGGCTAATGTTAGCTGGCTACTGTCAGTTGGCTAATAGCAGCTGGTTAGCGGCTAATGTCAGCTGGCTAATATCAACTGGCTAATATCAGCTGGCTACTGTCGGCTGCTAATAGCAGCTGGCTAATGGCTAATGTCAGCTGGCTAATGTCAGNAATAGCAGCTGGCTAATGGCTAATGTCAGCTGGCTAATGTCAGCTGGCTACTGTCAGCTGGTTAATATCAGCTGGCTAATATCAAGTGGCTAATAGCAGCTGGCTAATATCAACTGGGTAATATCAGCTGACTAATGTCAGCTGGCTAATATCAGCTGGCTAGTATCATCTGGCTTATGGCTAGTGTCAGCTGGCTAGTAACAGCTGGCTAATGGCTAGAGTCAGCTGGCTAATGTCAGCTGGCTAATGTCAGCTGGCTAATGGCTAGTGTCAGCTGGCTAATGTCAGCTGAGATGTCGGTCCCCAATGCCCAAAATTAATATCAATGTTTATGGCCCAACAGTATTGATAAACCACAGAAACTGAAAGTCACAAAATATAAAAACCTTTTAATCCTCTAAGTATAGGAAAGCGGTTTTATGAACATGGTTACCCATTCAATGGAATGGTTGTTAGACGCCTGGACCAGGAGGGACGATAACTGATGACTACAGTAACGACTACAGCCTGTTTTCCTTCCTCAGACTTCAGGTACGTCGCGGTGGACTTGCCCGGTCACGGCTGCTCATCCCATCGTCCTCCTGGAGTTCTCTATGCCTTCCCTTCTTACGTGTTGGACGTGCGCAGAGTGGTTGATGGTGGGTGATGCATTGGATTCCTTTGAGTAGAATCTAGCTTCATTTAATAAATTGGGCTCCATTAGGCGGTAGACTCAGTGATGATATTTCCTCCCCACAGCGCTGCAGTGGAGCAGGTTCTCCATCATCGGCCACAGCATGGGTGAGTGATGCACTGATCCTGTGATCTGCAGATGTTCTTGGAAGGACCTTCATGACTTCTCTTTGTGTTTCAGGTGGAAACATAGCTGGAATGGTGAGTCCAGAAGCTGAAGTTGTTTTCTCCCATTACATGGGGAAGCATGGCAGTAACTGCATCATGCTGTGGGGAGTCCTTTTGAGACAAGTTTAGACATGATTGATGGTGGGGGGGTGGGGGCTGAGGTGGAGTGACCTCCCCAGCAGGAAGGAGACGTCGCTGATAAGTCGCTGTCTTTTTAAATGTATCTGTTTGTCTTTACGGAGCTAGTGGCTCGTTTTTATGGACAGTAAGCTGACAGGAAGGGGGGTATGAGAGAAGGGGAGACACATGCGGGAAAGAACCACAGGCCGGATTCGAACCCGGATCACCCGCTGACTAAGGCCTCCAAACGTGGGTCTTATGCACTAACCGCTGCGCCACCAAAGCACGCCCCGCTACGTCTAACTTCTAATTAAAATGACGAATTT